TCATGCCTTCATTTGAACTAAGGCTAATGGCTGACGCTAATCTGATGGATTGCTCACGTATTTTAACGCCTTCATTTAGGGGTGAGTAATAAGGGACCATTACATACCCAGGCTGAGCCTCTGCGAGAGGTGTTTTCAACAGTGACACGATTCCACTCACATGAACAATATTGTACTTATTTCACTGATAAGAAAACTCTTGCTCTGAGAAGCAAGTGAGAAAACAATGGGTGATAAATATTTGTTCACTGTTAAATGAAAACTTAAATGATACACTTTTTGCTTATCAAATGTCTAATTTATGTGGGCCGGGTGGGGGGGCTCACGCCTGTAATCCCAGGACTTTGAGAGGCTGAGGTGGGTGGATCATGAGGTCAGGAGTTTGAGACCAACCTGGCTAACATGGTGAAACCCCGTCTCTACTACAAATAACAAAAATTAGCTGGGCGTGGTGGCGCAGACCTGGAATCCCAGCCAGTTGGGAGGCTGAGGCAGGAGAATCACTTGAACCCAGGAGTTGGAGGTTGCCGTGAGCCAAGATTGTGCCATTGTACTCCAGCCTGGGTGACAGAGCAAGACTCCATCTCGAAACAAATAAACAAACAAACAAACCCACAAGTGTTTAATTTAAAAAAAAAGATAATGAGTGCTGTTGGAAGTGAAGTGAAAGTGACATTCTTATATAGTGCAAGAGTATAAATTGGTGCATACTAGAGGAAAATCTGGCAGTTTGATGGTAATGTTAAACCATATACATGCACATACAGACATGTATACACATATATACATAGATGGTATGTATACACACATATACACATATGGTATATATACACATATATACACATATGGTAGGTACACACATATATATATGCTCATATATACATGTAAGTAAAATATCTGGGGCCAGACACAGTGATTCACACCCGTAATCCCAGCTTTTTGGGAGGCCCAGGCAGGTGGCGTGATTCAGGCCAGGAGTCTGAGACCAACCTGCACAACATAGTGAGACCCTGTCTCAACGCAAAATTAAAAACTCAGTTGGGCGTGGCAGCTGGTAGTTCTCAGCTACATGGGAGGCTGAAACAGGAGGATCACTTGAGCTCAGTTTGAGTGAACTGTGATCGCACCATTGCACTCCAGCCTGGGTGACAGAGTGAGACCTTATCTTTAAAATAGATAAATAAAATATCTGAAGTACAGAGGACATGGATGAAGGCTGACAATGCCCTTTAAAGACGGTCTGCTCCTGTCTACCTCTCCAGGCTTATGTCTCCTTCGTTCCTTCCAGCTCCTGTTAGTCTGTTCACACCGCATTCTCTCAGTTCTTCAACACACCTCATGTTCCCTCCTTCCAGGGAGCTTCTGCACGATATTCTTTCTACCTGGGTGGCTTATCAGCTCGCTTCAGACTAATTCCCCGGATTTCGGTTTAGGGTTACCTCCTCAGGAAGCCTTCTCAGACTGCCACTCCCTTCTCCCAATCTCCTGAGTCTGGCCAGATTCCTTTAATTTTAATTGAATTTATTTTTTGAGATGGAGTCTCGCTCTGTCGCCCAGGCTGGAGTGTAGTGGCATGATCTCAGCTCACTGCAACCTCTGCATCTCGGGTTTAAGTGATTCTCCCTGCCTCAGCCTCCCAAGTAGCTGGCATTACAGGTGCCCGCCACCACGCCTGGCTAATTTTTGTATTTTTAGTAGAGACAGGGTTTCACCATGTTGGCCAGGCTAGTCTCGAACTCCTGACCTAAGGTGATCCACCAGCCTCAGCCTCCCAAAGTGCTGGAATTACAGGCATGAGCCACCGGGCACAGCCTAGATTCCTTTATAATCTGCTTTTAGAGACATATTATTTTCCTTGTGGTGTTTAGCCCAGGAAATGGTGATCCTCTCCTTTGTGCGATTATATTATTTATCTGTCTCCTTTCGCGACTATAAGTTCAAAGAGAGCAGGTTTGTGCTTCTCTCTCCACCCCCAGTGCCTTGAAAAGGGCCTGGTAACAATTAGAAGGGCCTCCAGAAATACTTGCTGACTGCGTAAATGAACCATCAATTTTTATTTTCTCCTTTGTGCTTTCTTGTATTTTTTCAAATTATAATGCTCATGTGATACTCGTATAATTATCAAAAAAAAAAAGAAAGAAAAGCTTGTCCTTTCTGTTGGAGGCTGCCGCTGGTCTCTGCAGAGCCTGCTACCTTTGGCTTGGATTCCTCTGAGTGCCACCGTTCCAGCTAGTTTACGCCATGGAACACGATTGTGCTGCAGTGTCTGAAATTCTGCCGCCTCTGGGGAGATTCTTCCTCAGCGTTACCTTTGGGTGGTTCACAAAGCAGGTGACTTAGAAGCCTGCTGTTACTTCTTTCCTGCCCTCAGGGATGCAGCCTGGTGGTTTCTGTGACTCAGCAAATGACCCTCGGACAAAGCGGCACACCAAGCCTGTCTTGCCAGCTAGCGACAAGTCAGTAGCATTGCACTGAGTACCAGTCCTGCTGCAGTGTCCAAGAATGTGTCTCTCGGCATGAACCCCTCACACTCTTCTCCTCTCTACCCCCCAATATTCAAGAGATCTATAATCATTGCGGCTTTTCCTGTTGAGTCAAATCTAAGCCTTTTCAGAAAATCTGAGTGATTTCAAGGTTTCAGTTTGAGATTCAAGTTCTTGCTTTCTTTGTACAAAACGACAGCATAAATGCAATTATGGTTGTAGCTAAGGGAGAGTAAGTTCTCCATATGGTGCTTCAGGTGGCATTTAAGATATTTTTAAGACTTCTGTGGGCAAGTTAAAAAAATCCTGTTAGTCTGCAAACATTTTATCAGCCTCCACAACGTTCACCTACGTGTTGCAATGTTTCAAAGATAATTTGTCATTTCAAATCCTTTTCAGAATGAGCTGGGAAATAAATAAGTATGGACGATGCATCGGAGAGAATGAATTCCCTCAGTCTGAAGAGGTATTATTCTGGCGGTCTGAGGATTTTAATTGTTATTTAAGTTCTGACTTTACCACGGACCAATCTACCTTTTCTCAGGTTATGAACCCATGTTGAGTGACAATGTAGCAGCATAAAACCCTTGTTTTTCTGTACCTAGATCCCTGGATCTGTTGCAGAGATCGCCATTTTGATGCCATTAAGTATTTTTCTGGGAATTTGGGGGCGATGACAGAATAGCATCCATATTAGGACAAATGTGGCAGCCGGCAAGTTGCATTTATCCGGGTGTTGAGAGGAAAAGCTGATTACACAGCCCAGGGCAAATGGGGTGGAAACATCTTGGAGATTAGGTTCGCTCCCAGTGTCCTACATTTCAGAGGGATGTAATCATTGGTTTCATGTTTAATGTTTTCCACGGATGGCCTTTCCCTCTCATAGATTGTTTGTCTTGGGGTTGAAATAAATGCAAAATCTATTTTAGAGAACGTTACGTGTGAAAATTTAGCTCAGAGCAAACAACATTAACATTAGTGGTCTTGTGACTGGTGCTTTGGGATAACTTTGTCGTTCCCCTTCAGTGACAGAAGGAGAAACTGAGGTCTAGATTGGATAAGGCGGTTTGGGTGGGACCACATAATTAGTTCGTGGGATTTTGAAATGTTGAGCTCTTTCTAGAATTGTTTGTTATGCCCTCATTGCTAGGAGAGCAAGGTCTGTCTCTGTGAGAGGGCAAAGTCCATTTCCCTGGGATTGCTTTCTGGGGTGCTGTTCATATCACTGCCCCTTTTATCCTCCCAGTATTCACTCCTGGTATCTAATCCCATTTCCACTCTAGCTTTTAGCTAGTCTCTCTGACATCCACACACCAGTTCTAACAAACTCCCTTTCCTTGACATCAGCTCTTAAGTCAAAGAAACTCCTTGCTTCTGACTGGCCACATAATGGGAAGGTGAAACCCTAAAGCCACAGATGATGTCACCTGCCATATCTCATGTCTCTTCTTCCCCCCAGCTTGGTGTCCTTTTAAATGGAGCCACCAGAATGTATTCTTTCTCTGCATCTTGTTTCTCTGCTTCCTTTTTGATCACTTCTTCTGATTTTCTAGGTCACACATTGAAGTCATCCACCCACCACAGGGAACGACAGTGATTTAACTAAACAAAGTAGATCACTCCTTATATGCAACATATTAGGGGGAATGAGAAGGTAAATCTCAGACAATTCTTTCCTTCAAGTTCCTGTGAATCCAGGGGAGAAAACAAATATGTCTGCAGCCCTTTATGAGGGCCAATGGGGTAAGAGAAATACAAACAACATGCTATAGAAGCACAGAACTGTAAACGAACTGAAAGGGAATGAGGGAAGGCTTCATGGAGGAAGTGGCATTTGACCTGCAGTTTAATGCTGGAAACACCTTTATATCTTGTTCTTTAAAAGGAGGCACTTATTGGTTGAACTATGACATCTGGGGCTTTCATTGACTGTAGGTCATAGCAGCAGGACTGGGAAGCTTCAGCTATATTAAAGGACACCTCTAATGCAAAGCCTGGCTTAAGCTTCTCTTTCTGCTGGTAGTAAAGGGGTGGTTTAATCTTTTGAGAGAAGTTAGAGTTAGTAATCTGTGGGCAGTAATATTTCTCGCTGTTGGAGGTAATGCTCCTACGTGTGAATATGTGTATTGCAGATGTCCCCATCCTCTCTGGACCCTTCCTGCTCCTGTCCCTTCTGCCTCCTCTCCACTCCTGTGCAGTCCAGGGTCAGAAGCAAGCCTCTTTGGGCAGAAAGCTACTGGAGTTATTCAATGCGTTTCTCCCAGGTTAAACAGCCCGCAAGCTTTAGTGCCTCCGAATCACTTAGGGGTATTTTATTAAAACACAGTTTGAATTCAGGATGTCTGGGGTGAACCCGAGATTCTGCATTTCCAGTAAGCAGGTGAGGTCAATCCTGCTGGTTTTCCCACCATACTTGGGTGTGATCTTCACTCACTCATTTTACTAGACATGAACTAAGGGGCAAAGAAAACAGCGTAGGGATTGCTTTGGGAGAAACTCTCCCAAACCGCCTTTGTCCTCTGCTCTCACACCATCACAACGAACATCAACACAGAAGGCTTCTGTGACCAAAGGCGTGGGGGTTTTCTCCCCCACACAAAGCAGTATACACCAGCGGGGTGTCCTCCAATTCAGTTCTGATGCTATGTGCCTGGAGACAGTGTCAGAGCCCCCAGGTTGAGGACTCAGTCCCACAAGACCACGCTCTCCATGCCCCGCCAGTTGCAAGTCAGGGTTCCTCCGGAACTTCTGACCAACCAGCTTCGAGCTGGGCTTCCCACCACTCCCTCTCTGGGTTTGATTAATTTGCTAGAGCAGCTCACAGAACTAAGAAACACACTTGCCGGTTTATTAAGAAGGATATTTTAAAGAATACAAATAAACAGCCAGATGAAGAAATATATAGGGTGAGGTCTGCAAGGGTCCCAAGCGCAGGAGCTTCTGTCCCCAGGAATTGAGCTGTGCCATCCTCCTAGCACATGTGAGTTCTTCTTCACCTTCCTGTCAGCCTCCACAGGCCCAGCTCCCCAAAACCCATCCTCTTGGGTTTTCATGGAAGCCTCACGACGTCACCATTCCTTCCCCCAGTGTACAGGGTGGGACCCTCTGTGGGGAGTCTCTTAAGACCCACAATCAGAAAGGTGGAGAGGATTAGAGTCCTGCCTTGGGGCAGATAAGGAGAGGGCACGAGAGAGATTCTGTCCTGAGGCTTGGCCCTGAGGCCTAACACACACAGCGTATAACAAAAGACCAACAATGGCTATGGGAGTTATGAGCCAGGAACATTGAATGAAAATTATGTGTATTAATATACATTAAAATTAATTATATATGTATTATAGATATTAAAATATATGTATATAACAACACAGGAATGAATGGGGAATCCAATGAAATCCTACTTACCCCGGGGTACTTCAAACGAGAATGTGTAAATAGCACCTTAAGCTCCAGGTGGGCAGGGACCATTATTTCCATTTTCTTGGTTCCCTTTGATAAGCAAATTGACCAAATTTAGTAATTTCAAATTCATAGGCGTCGTATCACACACTTCACATGTTTCAGAGAGGAATGCATTTCGGTCAGGATGATCAGAGACAGCTTTTTCTCTTAGGAAGGCAGTATGGTATATTGTGAAAATGTGGGCCTTGGCCGGGCTTGGTGGCTCACACCTGTAATCCCAGCACTTTGGGAGGCCGAGGTGGGCAGATCACTGGGTCAGGAGTTTGAGACCAGCCTGGCCAACATGGTGAAACCCCATCTCTACTAAACACACAAAAAATTAGCTGGGTGGGGCACCTGTAATCCCAGCTACTCAGGAGGCTGAGGCGGGAGAATTGCTTGAACCCAGGAGGTGGAGGTTGCAGTGAGCAGAGACTACGACACTGCACTCCAGCCTGGGCAACAGAGTCCGTCTCAAAAAAAAAAAAAAAAAAAAAAAAAAAAAAAAAAAGGAAAGAAAGAAAATGTGGGCCTCCAGGTCAGAATGATTTGGGGTCAAGACTTTTTCTTAAACATGCAACCTCAAGTGAGTCATTATCTTCTCTAGTTCCAGTTTCCTCAGCCTTGAGGTGGTGATAACACCTACCCTCCTGGGGGTTGTGAAGATTAGTAATTTTGTTGATAAAGTGATCTCTTCAAGTATGGTCCAGATTGAGTGTTCTCAGCTAGGCTGTGCATTTCCATGAGGAACTGGGCTTTATTGAACTGGATATCCCCAGAGTCTAGTACACTATCTAACATATATCAGGCACTTAGTAGCCGTTTATTTTTTCATTTTTTATTTTGAGACAGGGTCTAGCTCTGTCACCCAGGCTACAGTGCAATGGTTTAAGTGATCCTTCTGCCTCAGCCTCCCAAGTAGCTGGGACTACAGGCATGCACCACCAACGTCCAGCTAATTTTTTAACATTTACTTTTTGTAGAGATGGGGTCTCACTGTATTGCCCAGTCTGGTCTCAAACTCCTGGGCCCACACAATCCTCTCAGCCAGTAACTGTTTATTAAGCAAGAAGCACATAAATACTCACCTAACAAGCTGGGCATGGTGGCTCATGCCTGTAATCCCAGCACTTTGGGAGGCTGAGGCAGGTAGATTGCTTGAGGTCAGGAGTTCAAGACCAGCCTGGATGACATGGTGAAACCCCGTAAACACAAGGAATAGCCAGGCGTGGTAGTGCGTGCCTGTAGTCCCAGCTACTCAGGAGGCTGAGGCAGGAGAATCACTTGAACCTGAGAGACAGAGGTTGTAGTGAACCCCGATTGTGCCAGCCTGGGTGACACAGTGAAACTGTCTCAAAAAAAAAAGAAAAGAAAAGAAAAGAAAAGAAAAAAACAACTCCACTAACTTGTTAATTAGTGTATACCTTTGTATTGATCTTATAACCTTAAACTTTATAAATAGCCTCTTTGGGTTTTCTTCTCCTTTCTCTTTAAAACACCTCCTACTCCCTCCCCCTACCAAGCTTAGAGCAAGTACATATTTCCAGGTTTGATTAAAGGTTACAGTAGGATTTAGGAATTTCTTCAAAAAGCTGTTGAAACAATGCTGGAGTATGACTTTGGATTAACATCCTTTTACCTTTGCAGGACTCAGCTCACATGACCATGATATTATTTTGTGGGTGGACTTTAAAAGATTTCTACATCAATTAAAACCTAGTTTGACTTAAGCCCTGCAAACATTTACTTCCTTCCCAACAATAGGAAATCACAGCTCCCTTCTATGTGCAAAGCTGACTTGCAATTGCTCCTAACACATTTCAGAGGTGATGCTTCACTCATAAAGGTGCTTCTGAGGCTGCAGTTTCAAGAAGTCAGTAGTGTGAAAACAGTGGATCCCTCTATGACAATTTTCAGGTAAAAAGAAAAAAGCATCAAAGAATTAAGAGTGGTACTGAGGCTTCTTATTCTTCTAACGGATGATGATGATTTTTAGACAAGAGATGTACTGACCTCGTATTGACTCTACTCCTAACTACCAATGTGACCCAAGGACAATGACTTGAACTTTGGGAGCCTCAGTTTTCTTATCTATAAGTGGAATTTACAAGGGGAAGATGTGAGTATTGAAGCAGATGACGTATATAAAGTGCCTATGGAGCTGGGCACAGCACTTCACAACTGTAATCTCAGCATTTTGGGAGGCTGAGAAGGGAGGATCGTTTGAGTTTAGGAGTTTGAGAGCAGCTTGGGCAATATGGCGAAACCCTGTCTCTACAAATAAAAAATTAGCGGGACATGGTGGTGCATGCCTGTAGCCCCAGCTACTCTGGAGGCTGAGGTGGGAGGATGGCTTGAGCCAAGGGGGTTGAGGCTGCAGTGAGCCAAGATCGCACCACTGCACCCCAGCCTGGGTGACAGAGTGAGACCCTGTGTTAAATAAACAAATAAATAAAGTGCCTATCAGTGTTTGGCTAATATTATGAGTAAGAATAAATCAGAGTTCCCATTTACTATTATTTCTAGAAAAAAAATTAGTGAAAGGAATCACCTTAACAATACCTTCCAAATTTTTTCCCATTTATCTATTATTTGGAAACAGAATCTATTCAGGACAAAATTCTATCTTCAAGTACCAAATGGGTGATACAGTTTGCATTTATCCAAAAGCAGATTAAAGACAATGCCCTTTCTAGCCTACCTGCTTGGAAAAGATCTCAGTGTCACTCAAATCGCATTCCAAATCTCAACGACACTAAGGCCTCAAATCCTCTTAGGAAAGGTTTGAAGGTAGTTCATTTCAGTAATGATTAGACACTTGGGGACAAAACAGTACCTTGGCATCAAGGTCTGTACTGATTCACCAGCCCAGAAATAGCAGTAACAAGATCTTCAACTCTGAGGCGTTCAAATGAGCAGACAAACTCCCTCGTGAGGCCCAGGCCTCTTGACATCCGGACTCAGTCTTTCTTTCCCAGATCGCCAAGGGTCTTGCCCATTTCTCAGCCTAAACCTATTTTGCATTTAATTCAAACTAGTCAAAGTAACTTACCCGCCATTCAGCAGTTCTGGTTAGAAAGCTACTAGGAGGCAGTGTAGGCGGGAGATGCGAGGGAAAAGGCTCATACCAGGGTTTGGGGCTTATGTGTGGATTCTTGAGTTCTCCTTCTCTGTTCCTTTTAGCACTTAAGATCAAGAACGGCTAGGCTGAGGGTGCAGGGGCCAGGCCACTGGAGCGAAACGGCCTCGCCGGATCTGGAGGCGTGGGAACCTCGGGAATAGTGGGGAGTTCCAGACCGGTTCCCTTCGCCCCATCTGAACAGGTCCAGAGCGTGCGCCTGGAGAGGCGCTCGGAAACAGGCAAGCTGGGGACACGTAGCGAGAGACTGGTTGTTGCCCTGGTTGTCCGTCTTAGACGTAGCTTAGCGACCACCGCCTTCAATCCCGCAGCCCAGATCAGACCGTGCCAAAGGACAGCACTGTTCCCCAGCCAGGCCCAACGGCTCGGCTGCTGATTGGACACCGCCGCCTCCCGCCCCGCCTCCCCAGCCACCTCGGGCGCCGCTGCACGTTTCCACTGGTCTGGAGCCCTGCCGATCAGTTTACTGCTCACCTCCCCCAAACAGCTCGTCGGGCCGGCGCGTGCTAGGAAGGCGGGGCCTGTGGCCTGTGGGGCGGAGCCTCGGTGGAGGTCGGCGCAGCTGCCCCTTTGGGCTCTGGCTCTGGACTGGAGCGCAGCATCCTCCCTGCAGCCGTCACGGCTGTTGCCGTAAGCGATCCTCCTGCCTCAGCCTCCTGAGTAGCTGGGACTCGGGACCAGCCTCCCGAGTACTGGTCAGGTAAAGAGAGTCTTGTCTGTTCTGCTGGCCATCTGCCCGTCTCTTCTTCCCAACCAAAGGCTGCCTGCCCCGCCTTCCCCCGTGGCTTTCAGGGTTCTTGGAATGAGGCATCAACTCTATTTACCCCGCCTGCTTATCTTCCCTTCTGTGTCGGTTCCTCCAGCTCCCTCACCAAGCTGCTCCCAAGTGCGTTGGTGGGCCCTCCGGGTCATCCCAACGCTCCTCACTACGGAACTCCTGTCGTTAACTCTCAGGTCCCAGCCCCCTTGACCCGCCAGTGCAGTCTCATTCCCAGCTTGGCACAGGAAAAGGTGGAGGGCGGAAGGGCGGGGGAGGGAGAGATGCAGCGCTTTTTTTTTTTTTTTTTTGGAAGCTGGATGTGTTTAGCGCAGAGGGGGAGCACCACAATGGGATTGGATTGGGAACAGAAGCAGCTTCATGACTGTGGTCGGCAATGACTAGAATGGTATCTGTTGCTGCTTTGTGCTTGTGTTTATAGGTGACATTTACCATCACCGTTTTCTTCTTTCATCATCATCACCATTGCCACTACCACCACCTCCAAGGCCACTACCATCACAGCATCTCTGTTCCTCCATCAGAGCTCTTCAAGCTCTGTAAAGGCAGATTCTCTAAAGGCATGTAAGTGCTGACCGCTCCCCCAGCCCCCTCCCCCACCACCAAATAGCGAGCAGTGCCCTTGCCCCCTGAGGCCAGAGCCAAGCCCTCATTTAACTCAAGGACAAGTAGCTGGGAGCAGAGTGTGAGCTGGGAGGATTTTCCTTATCCTCATTTGCAATTGAGATTGCCAAAGAAAACCCTTTATTTTAATCATCCACATTTCTGCTTGCTGTCTCCTGGAGAGTTCCACGTTAGCACTCACACACTCTGAATGGGCTGAATGCGGCGCCTGAACCTGTGGAAAAATGGGAATTTCAGTCACGGAGAGGTGAATGTCCAGACCCAATCCTTTAAGAAGACCAGGTCCAGTAGCAGACAACCTGACTTTCTGCCACAGTAACTCCAGCCGTACTAAAGCATGTTTACTATTCATGTTTGCATATGGGACAAGTGTCATCATCGGCTATGCCACCTTCTGTATGTGTTGGGGGGGTGGGGGTGGGGGCGTCTAAATTCCTGGGAGAGAGAATTATATTCTGTTGTCTACACCAGGTAGCATCTTATAGGCACACCAATGGGATTCAACAACCGTTGCTCAGCTGTTTCTAGGGCTTACTGCAAATCTCTTGGATCACAGACTTATTAACCCTTTTTTGGGAGGGAAAACAGTAAAGCTGAGAATTGCATACCAGATTAACTGTCATTGTGGAAGATGTTGCTTCCACAATGAATCAATGAGGTGTCAGGTCTTCTTGATCAGATACCTAAACACTAGTCTCCTTTCTCTCAACTGTGTTACAGTCCAGGAGCAGGACCAATGAATAGTTAGACATATTGCAGGAACAAAGAAGCAATGGCCTCAATGGAGGGAAACAATGGAGAAGAGTTGCGAGACAGTATATTGTAATGGCTAAACTCATAAACCTGTCAGACATAGGTTCACATCCTGGACCAGCCACTGTCTAGCTCAGTGATTTTTGCAAGTTCCTTGCCTCTTTAATTTTAATTTCTCATCTGTAAAATAGGGATAATACTACCTGTCTCTTAGGAGAAGATGTGAGGATTAAATAAGATAATATAGGTAAAATGCTCAGTAGTTTCTGGCACGTAAGTGGGGATTTTATGGTAACCGCTATTAATAATACTAGCCAAGAAGGATAATAAAGGCCAGTCTCTGGCCCTAAAAATTATGCATTTTTTTCCATTGTCTTTATCCTTTTTAGGTGTCAGAGCTGATGCAAATGGGGTATGGCAGTCTTCAGGTTCCTCATAGCACTACATCTTAGAGGGGTTGCACTATTGAGCCCACCTGTGTTTGGATAGGCATTTCTCTCACCAGCCTTCACAAGTACTTAGCAGATTCGTAGTTGAGATATGTTAAAGATGCAGCTTTAGAGAAGATTTCCAGGCCTCTGGCCCTATCCTAGACTGTTTCTTCCTCACTGAGTGTTCAATGCACTGACTGTGATTGATGAAGCCTTTGTCACAGGCTTAATCCTGCCTAGACTAAACGCTTTGGCCTTGGAAATGGGGTCCCATAGGACCTATGATTATGATTGTCTAAGAGTAGGTATCATATCCTGGTCATCTTCCCTTTCCAGACATAAAATTGGTGGAGCTGTTCCCAGAGGAAGAGGAATGGGGGCAGACTGGAACTTGATATGATGATGGTAAATATTGTATCCTTGATAGAAAATTGGGAAATCCTTCTCTCCTGTCTCATATACCATGCCTCAACGTCTAGTTTTATGTTAAAGTTTTGGATTCATGCACACCATCCCAAGCTGTGGTGTGTTTTAGATGATCTTGCCTTTAATGGTTTTCTTATTAAAACTTTATTTGTATCAGTGTGAAAATTCATAATGGATATTTCATATCTTACAGTGATGCTACTGTTGGTAGTATGACCATGTTTAGGGGTTATTCATAATCTCTTGTTGGGACCTGGTTTTAATAGTAGCTATTATTTTTACATGTACATAGTCTCTGTCTTAAATATCAGCTTAATTCTCAACAGGTCCCAGCCTGTGTTGACAGAATTACAGCTGTTAATCTGATTTGCCTGATCTTGCAGAGATGCTAAACCATGGGAATTGTATTCTCCTGCAGCAGCTATAAACTTGCACCAACAGGCTGGCCTTGTGGAGGAACTGAAGCATCTCTGTATTTAGCGTCTGTGCTGAAGTGCTGACAAAGCATCAACCCCATGCTTTGTAAAATAGTAATTACTAAAGCGGGGAGAAGTCAAGAAGGAAACGAACCTCTTTACCTTGTCAGCGTATAAAAGCAAGGGTCTGAGAAATGGAGCGTTCCCTCTCGCTTACCTTTCTCAAGTTCCCTGGCTAAGAGTAAAAAATCTCCCAGAGTAATCTGGATTTCTGTGTTTACGCTTTCTGCAAATACTGCCTTAGTGCATGTTTGAGGATGGGGGAGAGAGAAGAGAGTTGACCCTCCTTGTGGACATCCTTACCTCCCCACTGCCCTGAAATGACCACGATCTCTGTAATGCATCTCTCTAGGAAGCAGACTACTAGTTAAGTTTTTTTTTTTTTTCTTTAACCAACACACCTCCTATTTCCTTAACTTGATACTGACTTGTTTTATGTTCCATCTTATTAGAACTATGCCTGTCTCTTCCTTGTAAAGTGTCATAGGTCACTGCTCATGATGAACACCTTTCAAATTAAACACTTTTTTACTGTGGTCTTCCACGTGACAGGCTATTGGGGAAAATATTTTGGAGGTAGCCAGGACTTTTTAACATTCATGTTTGTCATCAGGATCTGGGCATTAATGGAGAAGTAGCAGGGACAGCCAGAATGCTGACTGGGAGGATAGACAAGGCTGTAAAAGTGGGGCAGGAGACACCATTATGATGCTGCTGCCGCGATGCTAGTACTCACACCCCTGCCACAGGCTTTCCAGTATGAGAGTGCTCTAGTTCATGTTTTTGTTAAAGAAGCTCAGAGAACATCCAGAAATGCGTCAGACAGCAGTGCTTGTTGTTAAACACTCCTTTAGCCATAGTTGCCCTGTTTTTCCATTTTTTTCCCACGTGAGTATCTATCCACATTCATCTAGGCCTAGGTGCTTTCTCCAATGAGTCCTCTGTGAAACATAAGGAAAAATATGGACCTTTCAAAGAGAAAGAGAACTGTCTACTTCTTAGGAGAAGCCCTCCCTGGTGATTCACTCACCATAGTAATTTTGTGAAACCTCATCGTTTCCAAAATCTTAATATTAGCACAAATGGAATTCAAAGGAAATTGAATGAATGCCATCTTTTGAGCAGCACACAGGTGACTGTAGCACTGTCTCAGGTTCTCTCTAATCTTCTTTAGAGTTTCGAGAACTCTTTTCAGTCTATTCTCAGTAGAGAAGATAATACTTCTAAGTATTAAAGAGCAGATTTTTTGCTCTTTGCTATTGTAAGGATTGCTGAGCCAGAATGGAGAAAGTATTTGGGAGGAATTGCTGTCACAGTGTTTAATGGTCTTCCTCCTCTGTGAGAATTACAACTGGGCAAACATTATTATGTTTAAATGTGTTCAGTCCCCAAGAGGCAGGGAGTAAAATCTTTGTTACCATTTTCAAAGTGTGCATTGCTGCTTTGATCTCTTCACTGACCGAAAGCACATCCCTATGGCCTCAGACCTGTGCGTACTAATAAAGCTGATTTCTCACCGTTACACCGTGGAGTCCATGTAACTTGTTGATGTTCTATTCTGAGAAAAATGTCTTCAAAGTCTACTCCAAGGGCAAGACTCAAGTGAGCATGAATTGTATGTTTTCTCTGTGTCCGTCCTTGGCTTAATACAGAAGACTTAAATTCCTTTCTTTGGTTATGTAATCTGCTGGTTCCTCTGTGAGGTAGGTAAATGATGCTGTACCTCTCCTGCAGATGAGGAAATCAAAGATCATAGAGGTTAATGTGTTTGCTTAAGGGGCTGGCTCTCAATGGAATCTGGATAGTATTTACCTGCTGGGCTTGCATTCTATTTTCTCTCCGTGCTCTAGTAAGCCTAAGCCACAGAGAACATTCCTGGCTTTATAATGTTTTAAACTTTCAAAGCAGGATAAACCATAAATAAAGTTCAGTATGCTGGGTATGAATATAGTGAAAAGCAAGAGTTGCTTTTTTTAAGCATTAAAATTATTATACTTTCTCTTTTTAGATGAAGGCAGCCACTTTAGAAAATTTTCTAAGCCTAGCTCGTATTTGGAGAGCTTTGCAAATAATGTTTTAAAAGCCTACAGTTCTGCAGAAAATGGATTTCATCTACAGAATTGGCATCAGTCCTGTCCTTGTTTGCCAATGTCCCCATCTCTCTTTATTTCTATTTCTACTGTAGAATCCTCTACCTTCTACTTACAGGAGACTAGCTGGGCTTTCCCTCTTTCCTATCCATCCAACCCCAAGTAAATATGAATAAAACATATCGCACATAATGGAGGTGCTGGCCTTGTGTTCAGATCACTCTCTGATTTATTTTTGGCTGGTCCTAATTTTAAGCTCTGAAAACATAATTTAATTCTAATTTTCATGATTATTTGAATAACTGAAACTCCGTGATACCACAGTGTCTTATGGAAAACTATGGTAGGTTGAAAAAAAAATAACCTTAATGTTTTTTTCAAACAGCAAGCAACAGCAACTCTTATGCCCAAATTTTCTCTAGTTAAGGGACAAGATATTTTTCTAGTTATACAGTGGAGAAAACTGAGATGGAAGATTAAAAGTGACTTGCCCAAGGTTACACACGGTCAGTGGCACAGCCAAGAATAGATCCAGGTCACCTGACTCTCTGGGCTTTGTTCATTACATCACTCACCTTCTCTTTAGGAAGTAACAGCCCTGCAGCCTACGGAAATGAAGGCAGTCAACCTCTAGGTCTTGACTTTTTTTTTTTTTTCCATCTTTTGTGAGAATGTATCGATAGCTGCCACACTGCAGCACCATTAACTAAATTCAGGAACTGAACATAATTTATTTAAAAAACCACAAAATTCTGATATCATAGTCCAAAACTTGGCAGATGATAAAGCAAAAGGGAGATGTAGCTGAAGACTCCAAACTAGTTGTGTAGGGAGCTTCTGCTGGAACCACATCTAAGAAGGAAGAAACACACGGAAGAGGGAAAAGGGAGATATAGTCTAAGACTATATATATAAAGGTATGACATGGACCCAGGGCAACAGCTTCAGGAACACTAAGGTCATGAATAACAAGAAGATTTGAAAAAATGCTAAGTCTCCCTCTGTCGCCCAGGCTGGAGTGCAGAAGCACGATCTTGGCTCACCGTAACCTCCGCCTCCCGGGTTCAAGCAATTCTCCTGCCTCAGCCTCCTGAGTAGCTGGGATTACAGGCATGCACCACCACACCTGGCTAATTTTTTTTGTATTTTTAGTAGAGACGAGGTTTTACCATATTGGCCAGGCTCCTGACCTTGTGATCCTCCTGCCTCAGCCTCCCAAAGTGCTGGGATTACAGGCATGAGCCACAGCGCCCGGCCAAAGTCTACTTTTTAAAAAGAGGGCTTTTAGCATTTCAATCAGTGCATGATGTACAAATCCAGCTGCTTGAAAAAGATGGGCCAAATTCACAGACAGCGAGGAAGCAGAACTACTCAATTTTCATTTTGCTCCTGCCATTTTCATTCAAACCTTGCAGATAAGAATCTCCATCTACAAAGATAGGTATATGAAAATTATCTCTTTATTTTTTAGAAATCATGTTCATTTCTATTTCAAGCCTCTTCTTTCTGGAAAGGTGGAAAACTTAACCTCAGTCCTTCTCAGTATTTATAGTCTCCCCGGAGTTGTGTGAAGGCTCCAGGGGACTGACATAGTGCCATGGCATGGGAAGAGGGACCTTCTGCTCATTGAGGCATCAGACTGCACAGGTTACTCTGTAGCACTCAGTAATTCTGCTCTCCCAGCTCTCTCAGTTGTAGTCATCTGTGGCTGTGTCCAATTGGAGCTTGACCCACACAATTCTTTTGTGGACATTTCCTGTGGTTCCTTCTCACCTAGATATAGCACACAGGGCTCTAGGGTCATGTGACCTCTCTGGGGACACTGCCAGGAAGTAGGGCCCGGGTGCCCTTCCTCCAGGGTCCACAAGCCTCTTGCCTTCCTTTCCCAACAGCCTTGGGGAGATAATTCTTTTTTCAGGGTTCTTCAGGACTCTTTATGTGGATAAATCTCACTCCTTTTTACATCCTTCAAGAAATTCCCTATGTTCTGAGAGTTTAGAATTTTGAGAAACACAATCCAGGAATAATCACAGGCTATTTATCCTTTTCTCCTTACCACATACCTCTCCTGATGCAATGAATGCCAATACTGATACCTGCCTTAGTGGGGGTTAAGCAAAGGGGGAAATACAAGGAGAAATAAAAGTAAACATAGATTGATATCCATGTTTCTGAACATTACTTTCTTTTAGAAGTACAGCAACTGGGGATGTCTGCCTTGTTCACATCTACTTTCTTTTCTCTAGGAATGACTCCAGTATATAGGTGTGGGGTCCCTGTAGACATGACTCTGTTCCTGGCCAGGACTATTAAACCAGGGATCTGGAAATCTGATCCAAGGTGGGCCAGATGGAATGCCTTCCCCAAAACTGGAGTCTAGGGTTGAAGGATTGCATTGACTAAGAGTCACTGGAGTTAAGTCACAGTAAGAGAAGTGCCCCAGGGAGACACCTGTGAGTCCGATGCAGAGGCCACCGGAAGAGTCTGCTTTCTCTTCTTCCAACTCTTGGCCTTTCTACTCTTTCTTTGATTTTATGAAACTGCCCATGAACTTCATGAGATTCAATATGCTTCTCTTTTTGCTTAAGGTAGCCAAAATCAGTTTCAGTTGCTCACAACCAAGAGAAACTTAAGAATGGCCTTCAAATTTGCAAAGAAAGGAAAACATGATGAAGAGGAAACGGAAACTTAAGATAGGTGAAGAGATAGTAAGATAGAATCTGGCAGTTTAAGGTGTGTTTTTCTAATAATTTAAAGTGACAGTTGCAAGAATTGTCTTTGTGATCCTGGAAAAACTTTCACTTTTTTTTTTTTTTTTTTTTTTTAGGAACATTTAAAACTGTCGGCACTGCTTTGTAGCAGGGTCATTGACAAACTAGAGAACAGTCAGGTGATATGTAGGATTTTTGAAGCTGAACACGCTTCCATTTGAGGGCTTGCTGAAGGGCCTGGGATGGTTTAATCAGCGTAAGAAAGTGTGTCAGGAAACATGATTTGTGGTCAGTTGTTTAAAGGGCCATTGGGCAGGAAAGGAGTTAGATATACTCACTGCAGCTCTGGAAGTGAGAAAAAAGCACCAGTGAAAATAAATGAATGGAAATAGATTTTGACTTAGAAAAGGAGAGTTTTTTTACATTTATTGCTGTCTGGAAGGCCGTGAGGTTTCCTTTTGAGGCAGAGAACTCTTTGCAATAGCAGAGCTCAAGGTGAGACTGGAGAACCATTCACAAGGGTTATACTGAAGGAGAGGGCCCAGCCTTGGGAAGGAGGTGGGATGAGATGAATAACGTCTAAGTTTTCTTTAAATCTAAGATTCCATCATTTTCCCTGTGACTATTATTAACTCGTAGACCAGAAATTCCAACCTACATTTTTATAGAATTTAATAGGCACAAAAGCATTTCATGAATATAGTTTTATAAAAAACTTCTTCCTGACTGGGCACAGGGGCTCATGTCTATAGTCCCAGCTCTTTGGGAGGCCGAGGTGAGAGGATCACCTGAGGTCAGGAGTTCGAGACCAGCCTGGCCAACATGGTGAAACCCTGTCTCTCCTAAAAGTACAAAATTAGCTGGGTGTGGTGGCACATGCCTGTAATCTCAGCTACTCGGGAGGCTGAGGCTGGAGAATCGCTTGAACCTGGAAGGCAGAGGTTGCAGTGAGCCAAGATCGTGCCACTGCACTCCAGCCTGGGCAACAAGAGTGAAAGTCTGAAAAAAAAAAAAAGAAAAAAATTCTTATTTCATTAAAAAAAATAATGAATACAAATTTTCATTGAAAGAAGACATTTCTAAAAAGTAAAGGAAACAAAAATTTACTTTCTATTCTCTAAATTGGAATTAACAGTAATTAAAATTTTCACAGGCAGTGTTTCACTCAAATAGAAAACATCTTCCATAATATTAACATAATAATACAAAACCCAGAGAGTACTGAATTTCTACAAGAAGCAATAGACTCCTTGAATTATTTTAAGGACTCAGTAGGAGTACCAACTTTTCTCCCAAACTTTTCCCAAATAAATGAAAAAAGATATTGCCATGGCACCTAAACAGGTAGCTCAGGTATTTTATCGACAACCTCCAAAACATTACGGCTATGCAACTGTTGTGTATTTTAAATTATGGTTCTTAACTTGGGGGTAAGAACTGGATTACTCTAGTTTGTCATTTACCACAGCAAGCAGATGCTAACATTCAATAATCACGCTTTAAACAAGGAGGACAAGAAATCCACTTAGTTTGAAAATCCTGATCTTAACGACCCCATTAGACATAGTGTGATGTCGTGAAGCTTTTCATAATCTCACACTCTTTATGTAAAAACCTTTAACAATGTAAGCACCCATATAACATAGCATATTAATTAGCTCTTTATTAAGCGGATTACATTTCTAAAGAGCATTCAAAATAATACAGTCTTTTCTGCTTTGTCAACTGGATTCTCAAGTAATTTTCAGGATATGATTTGCAACATAAGTAAAAAAAAGGTCTAAATTATAGCTGGGCACGGTGGTTCTCACTTGTAATCCCAGCATTTTGGGAGGCCGAGGTGGGCCGATCACTTGAGGTCAAGAGTTTGAGACCAGTCTGGCCGACATAGTGAAACCCTATCTCTACTAAAAATATGAAAATTAGCTGGGTGTGGTGGCGCCTGCCTGTAATCCCAGCTGCTTGAGAGGCCGAGGCACAAGAATTGCTTGAACCTGGGAGGCGGAGGTTGCAGTGAGCTGAGACTGTACCACTGCATTTCAGCCTGGGTGAAGGAGTGAGACTGTCTCAGGGGAAAAAAAAAAAAAAAAAAAAAAAAAAGATCTAAATTAAAAGGGAAGAAATTTACTCATGGATGTAGAGTCTGATGTGAATTTTTTTAAATCATTTTTGAAACGTAAAAAAGAATAAAATAACAATGATCTATATTCCTAGCAGGAAGAATTAACTACATCTTGCCATATTTGTTCTTTAGAAAGTGTAGGAAATACTTTTTAAAAAAATGATGTATGTTGATTACAAGAATTCATATAAGGTATTACGTTACAAAGATAAACTTTAAAAATAATCTCAAATACTATCATTCCAATTGTTAACCTTAGGTAATATCATTTCAGACAGCTGTCTGTCTGTGTCCCTATGAATCTACCTGCATGGATGTTTAGGTGGAAATGCTTTTATAAAAGTGAATAGCGATGCTATTTATAACAAAAACAATACATTAGTTTTTCTTGAATTTCAAGCAATAAAAAGAAACTGAACTGAAACTAAAAGAATGGTCAAACCAATAAGTTTACCTTATTTCAAGATATATCCTTGAGACACATATATTTTTAAAAAATTTCTCTGGCCAAAAAAAGTATCATGAAGTTAAAGTCATTGTGATTATACTGCTGTTTTTATAAATTACTGTCTTCTTTAGACAGTATCAGTTGACTTTCTTTCTTGAAAGAGTAACACTTTTGAAACTTCCTCCCCACCTTTTATCCCCACCTCCTGAGTATTAGATGTGTTATTATTTCTATACTGTTCAGGTTATAACTTTCCATTTTGTCCTGAGAATATTTTGAGAGTTATTCAGTAGTAGCTCTGTGCTTAAATGAATTTAGTGCATACAGCCTCTGGGTATGCTATTTTTGCACTTTGCTTTCAGTTCTTCCTACTGTTTGATAAATGTCAACCCACCAATTTGACACAGTCATTCATAATCCCCACTACTTTGGGTCTATGAAATTATGTAACCCATTATTACTAATTCACTAAAATGTTATTGAGTGTCTACTCTGTGCTAGGCATGATTGAACTACAGAAATTTGATGTTGAGTAACACACAGTCTCTGTCCTCAAGAAGTAAGAGCAATGAACATGTATTAAATTTCTCGTATGTTAGCTCTATGAGAGACATTTTGGTATTTCTGTATCCTCAGTGTCCATCGTAAGGACTGGCATTCCACAGGCCCTCAAATAATACTTGTTTAATTGAATGAGCGTTTATGTGCCATTGACTGTGGTAAGTGCATTAAAAGTTCTATCTAATTTTAACTGACAACAACCTATTAGGTAGGCATTTCTTTTCTCCATTCTATAAATGAGGAAGCTGAGTCTCAGTAAGTAATATCCTAAAGTGATACAGCAGGGTTTGATTGTAAAAGTCATTCTCTTTTCATGACAGCAGGCCTTGGTCATTTATGGTGGAAGTAATAGAGGAAAGAGGCACGTGAACTGCTGATTATAATACAGTGGTGTAAGTCATAGGACGGTGTATTTAAGGTCTAGAGGGGAAGAGGCTGCTTGGTATTGAATCTTCATTGTACCATTCATTAGTTTTCTGACATTGAGCAAAGCCCCATCGCTGCTCTAAGCCCCAGTTTCCTATCTGTAGAAAGGGGTTAACAATGGGGGAATTAAATGAAATAATTCAGGTAAAATGTTGATCACAATGCCTGCCACAAGTGCTCAAGTAATAGTAGCTGTTAATGCTATTTTTGTAGAGTGCTTTGGATGCTCAAAAAAAGGAATAATATTTTTTCCTCCTGGATTTCCGGGGTAGGTGACATTTGTGGTTGGGCTCTGTTGAAAACATAGGAATTCATCCGGTGAAAGGTAGATGGCGCCTAGGCAGAAAGAGAAGCATGAAACCTGGAAGGAGAGATCCCGCTGAGATGCATGGTATCTGCATTACCCTGTGCAACTCCTAACACTTCCTTCCTTCACTTGTGTACCTCGAGGGTGTCCAAACAGGAGTATCTGTGTTTAGAGAGGCTGACTTGAAAATAGACCATCTTATCTTACTGGACCATCTTCCCACTGAGTAGGTGAATTAGTCAGTGTCTGTACGGAGCCGAAGAAATGTGAGGTGATAGGGCAGGTTTAGGGCTATTAGTCCAGGAGGCCAGGGGCCATTCCAGGCCAGCTTAAGAGCAATGGATGGCCCTACAAATGAGCCGACAGCCTGCTTGAGATTCTAGGACAGTGTTTCTCAAACTTTTTTTTTTCATTATCCCTGCTTTATGCATGCAAAGAGTAAGATTTTCACCCGTTTCTGAGAACCCACTTGAATGAGCCAGACTTCAGAGGGCCTCTCAGGTAAGTTGCTTTCTGCAGCTAACCCTAGACTTGAAGGCTCCTGCTGCTGTTACAAAAAGCCACTTTTTATTATGCTTTCAGTTGTACTGCCAGTGATTCTGTCTAGAAAAATAATCTTGGCTCTTACATTAACCTCCCAACTGGCCTCTCTCTGCTTCCAGATCTGCCCTTTTGCAATCTATTCTCCATATGGCAGTCTGAGTGACCTTTTAAGAATATAATCATGGGCCGGGTATGGTGGTTCATGCCTGTAATCCCAGCACTTTGGGAGGCTGAGGCAGGTAGATCACCTGAGGTCAGGAGTTTCAGAGCAGCCTGGCCAACATGGTGAAACTCCATCTCTACTAAAAATACAAAATATTAGCCAGGTGTGGTGGCAGGTGCCTGTAATCCCAGCTACTCAGGAGGCTGAGGAAGGAGAATCACTTTAATCTGAGAGGCAGAGGTTGCAGTGAGCTGAGATCATGCCATTGCACTCCAGCCTGGGCAGTAAGAGGGAAATTCCATCTCAAAAAAAAAAAAAAAAAAAGAAAAGAAAAGAAAGGAAAGAATATAATCAGATCTTGTCTCTCCCCAGTGTAAAACTCTTCAATAGCCCTCCATTGAACTTAGAATAAAATTTGGACTCTATATCACAGCCCCGAAAGTCTCCCTGATCTGACTCCTACCCATTGCTCTAATCTCATCTGATGCCATCCTGTGTGCTGGGGAAGGTGCTTCCACGTGCAGAAAAAAGCCGTCGGGCAGAAAGTCACAGGCGTTCGCAGCGAGCAGCTTTTGGTGTGTGGAGGTGACGTCAAGGGTATACGGTGGGCACTGACAACAGTGGCTACAGCTCCCAAAGGCCACGGGAGAGGGTTTGTCTGCTCAGAAGAGGTAGGAGAGACATCCAGAAAAAGTGACAGTTAGGGAGCTGCTATATGAAAACAGTTTAGGAGTAAAACGATCTGAAAATTCTTTAGCAGCAAAACTATGTGAAAGACAGATGGGTATCATATTCCATGCAGGAGGAACACCATGCAAGGAACCCTTACAGCAGAAGGGAGTGGCCTTATGTGAGCCCCCAAAAGGGAACTGGCTGGGGCATGGTGCAAAAATTAAGCCGGAAAAATCAACAGGGGCCCGACCGCTTGGAGCCTTTCAGGTCATGATAAGAGCTAAAATCTGTCTTAAGAGCAGGAGAGGCCAGACGTGGTGGCTCATACCTATAATCCCAGCACTTTGGGAGGCCAAGGCTGATCACTTGAGGTCAGGAGTTCGAGACGACCCTGGGCAACATGGTGAAGTCCCTCTTTACTAAAAATACAAAAATTAGCTGAGTGTGGTGGCACTTGCCTGTAATCCCAGCTACGCAGGAGGCTGAGGCAGATGAATGGCTGAAACCCTGGAGGCGGAGGTTGCAGTGAGCCGCGATCACACCACTGCACTTCAGTCTGGGCGATCAGAGCGAGACTCTGTCTTGAAAAAAAAAAAAAAGAAAAGAAAGAAAAAGAAAAAGCAGCAGGAGAGCCTCTGAAGAGATCTGGCTGTGTGTGACTAACTGAGGCACGATGTGGCCAGATTTGTTTTAAATGATTGCTCTCATTGCAGTGTGAACACTAAGTAGATGAGCATACGCAGGCTTACAAGGATACAGGATGGCCAACTGGTACTGACTTGCCTGCAACTTTGCTGGTTTCAGCACTGAAATGTCTGCATCCTGGAAACTCTTCAATCATAGGCATGGTTGGTTACCCTATACTATGCAGTAGTTTAGGTGGGAGATTAGGGTTATCTCATGGAAGAGGCAGGATCGTCTGTTCCCTAGACTTACTCCAGACGACCTTAAAGGGTCAGCGTTGTGATCCCCAATTTCTGAAAGCCCCTTCAAATAAGCTACCTAATAAATATAAGAAACACGGCAACACATACGCACCTAATGTGCAAATTACTTCAGGTAAGCCTTGATTTTCTTTTTTTACACAGGCCTGGTGGCATCACGTTTTTCACATCTCCGCATCTGGACCCTGCCCAGGCGAAGGCTGATCTAGGTAAGAAGGTGGACTAAGTCATGGCGGTGGCTTCTGCTCACTGACACGCTGCGCTCTGGCCCTGGGCTTCCAAGCAATGTTTTTACCCACAGCGTTCTGATTCCCGCCTTGTTCTTCCTCCCACGTTGTTATGTTAATTCCACTAAAGCTGCTCTTTGACCATGCTGTACTACAGAGCAGATTAGTAAATTCCAGCTGTCCCCTAAATAAAGTAAGTATTTCCGCTCCTGATTTCAAAGCTGCCTCCCAGCTCCTTACTTATCTAAGGCTTTCTACTTTTTTCTAGTCACTCAAGGCAGAAGACTTTTGTTACCAATCAATCAAAAAGAATCAAGGAAGGAATGCTACTATTTCTATTCTTATTATAAATAGCTAACTGGGCCCACTATGTGCCAGGCACTATTTTAAACACTTTCCGTATATATTTGTTAATATTTGTATTAATAAGTGATTCACTCGTTGGACAGATTTTTATTGATCACCCATGATTTTCTAGTTAATCTCTGAAACATAGGACATGGCAGTGAACAAAACTCTTTTCATGACAGTTACATTCTATAGTTGTGGGGAGAGACAGAATGTAACCATTAGACATATAATATGGCAGGTGGCAAGTTCCATGGAGACAGATGCCTCAGGGAAAGGGACTCAACAGTGATGGTGGCCGTGGGCACTGTGTTAAATTGGGTGACCAAGGAAGCCTTTCTAATGAGGCATCATTTGAGAAGATACCTGAAGGTAGTGCCAGATTGAGTCATAAAGATTCAGGGGCAGTTCAGGCAAAGGGAAGAGCAAAACTATATTTTTTTCAGTTTATGTTAGAATCCTGAAATCATACCTTTCATTTTCCTATCAGGGATGGATCAACATTTCATAGATCCATTTTTTCCATTGTTTAGTATCTGAGAGCATCAAAAATTTTTTTCTTTTCACATTCCGTACTGCCATTTAAATTTGATTTTTTAATGGAAAGTTTGGTATCAATTTATTATTTTATTCTCTTACTGAATTTTTATACTTTTCATATTTTTTTCTCCTTGATATATGTTCAATGGTGGGAAGCCAATTTTGTTCCTAATTATGAGTTTATTATCTACTTTAATTGTTGCGTTTATTGGAAAGTAAAGATCAAGCTATCATTAATCATTATTGCTGGCTACAAATAATAATATGCTTGGATTTTCAGGCACAGATGCAGGTTGGATTTGTTTCTTTAGATAATTACATTCTAATCCACTATTTACTGAATATGTGTCATGTTTTATGTACTGCAGGGAATACAAAGATGGTGACAATGACAGTCTTCCCTCTAGAGAGCCTTTGATCAAAGAGGAACAATACATTGCAAAAGGTTCATTGCCAAAAGAATACAGGGCGTATTGGGATTGTATTCTTGGATAATGAGGGTCTGCAGCACATAATAGTGGCAACTACTTATATAGCGCCTACTATGTACCAGTCACTGTATTCTAAATGCCAGTGTATCTATCAGGTATTGACTAACTTTAGGGATTAGAAATTAGGGCTCGCAAAGATTACATAACTATGTAATATGCTAAGTGGAAGAACTGGGATTTTAACCATGGCAGTATAGTCCTAAAGCTGTGCTAGGGGGTAAGGAGGGTAGGAAACCCTTGCCCTAGAGACTGTGAGGCATGGGCCTCAAGGAAATCAAAAGTGTAAGTTCATGTGCATGGTTAGGATTGGACAAAGCAATCTAACAGAGGTAGCTAAACAGACTTGAGACCCACAGCAGGATATGGAGACATCATAAACCATTGAGACTGGCAGATAAAAGCCCAAGACAGTCTCAAGTTGAAAATTTTTGCCTTTATACACAGGCCAGGAGGGAGTGATTAAAGGCACCTCCTCAGAGGGTACATGTTAAGTGCAAATAATGTTTGGATCAAAGCAGACGGAAAAGCCTTGGAAGTGCTGGAGTGGAGAGGTGAGTGTGTCCTGGGTCTCATTTAAGCTAACAGTGAATGTTCTTCCAGAATAGAAGTGGAAATAATATGCATCGATTAGTTCATTCATTTTTCATTCATTGAAATTTTTTTTACATTCAGTGCTGTTACTGATTTTTGATACTTCATTTGCTTTTTTTCTAGTTTTTTGTATTCCTGATGAAGGATTGACTTCTTCCTGCCCGTAGATGCCTCATATTTACATTTCTTTTCTTTTTTGAGACAGAGTTTCACTCTTGTTGCCCAGGCTGGAGTCCAATGGCACAATCTCAGCTCACTGCGACCTCTGCCTCCTGGGTTCAAGCAATTCTCCTGCCTCAGCCTCCCAAGTAGCTGAGATTACAAGCATGCGCCACCATGCCTGGCTAATTTTTTTTGTATTGTTAATAGAGACAGGGTTTCGCGCTGTTGGTCAGGCTGGTCTCAAACTCCTGATCTCAAGTGATCCACCTGCCTCAGCCTCCTAAAGTGCTGGGATTACAGGCGTGAACCACTGCACCCAGCCTTCTCATATCTAAATTTCTTACACCATTTCCTTTGCCTGTTTTCACCCCTTACTGTCTTGTAGTATCTCTTTTGGCTCTGGAAATCTGGGTTCTGATCCTATTTGTGCCCTGAATTTACTGTCTACCTAGAAAATTAATTTGGTGAGTGGGTTTCATTTCTTTGCAGGGGGGACTATGGAATTGCACTGCAAGTAAGGAGAACAAAAGGCATTTTTACAGATGAGGACACTGAGGTGCAAAGCGGTTAAGTGACTTGCACAAGAGTACTGTTAGTAATTGGCAAAGCTGGACTTGAGTCCAAGCCTTCTGACACTGCTTTTTCCTTAATTTGCCCTGCCCTGGTAGAAACCATCTCATGTGAAGATTGATCAGTCTTAAACCAGTTGTACATGGTGTGAGTGCTCCATATTCTGAAAGAAGAGGAAGTAGTGAATGAGTAGGCGTGTTTTCTGAATGAGACCTATTGTCCCCAATCAGTCCTGTAAGGAATTTCAAGAGCCAGGGCTCTAGGTCAAAGCACCTGGGTTCAAATCGCAGCTCAGCAGCTTACCAGCTGTGAGACCCTGGACAAGTTACCCTCCTGTGCCTCAGCTTCTTCCTTGTAAATGGAGATAATAATAGTACCTACTTCATAAGGCTTTTCTGTAAAAATCAATGCGTTAAAACAGGTAAAGCCCTTGGAAGAGTGGCCAGTACGTGGTGAGTGATCACTAAGCAGCAGTAATTATCTTAATTATTTAAAGACAGGCCGGGCGCGGTGGCTCAAGCCTGTAATCCCAGCACTTTGGGAGGCCGAGGCGGGCAGATCACAAGGTCAGGAGATCGAGACCACAGTGAAACCCCGTCTCTACTAAAAATACAAAAAAAATTAGCCGGGCGCGGTGGCGGGCGCCTGTAGTCCCAGCTTCTCAGGAGGCTGAGGCAGGAGAATGGCGGGAACCCGGGAGGCGGAGCTTGCAGTGAGCCGAGATCGCGCCACTGCACTCCAGCCTGGGCAACAGCGTGAGACTCCGTCTCAAAAAAAAAAAAAAAATTATTTAAAGACATAGACTGTTCCTTCATCTTTTGCTTGAGAACCAAAGCGCAAAAACACTGTTGATGTTCTGAAGCAGTGTCTTAGCTGCAGGCAGAAGCATTGGGACCTTGCTGTCTACGAAGACCCCTGACCATATTAATACTTCTGTTTAAGTGAAGCTAGATTCCTTTAATTGACTTCACAACCATCATTCGCCACTGACAGGGTGACCCTGCAAATGAAAATCTTGCTGTGATGGCTAACATATATAGTCAAGAATGAAATGATTCATAGCTAGTCATATTTTTAGAGTGAATTTTCATAGGGACAGCAAAGAGGCAGGATTACAAGTGAGAAGAAAGGAAATATAAAGAGGCTGGTTAGGGGTGCTTAAAGACAAATTATCCATGTGAAATAGTGTGGAGGAAAAAGGCTGACAAGTAGTGGGAACTCCAGGAATGATTTTTTTTTTTTTTCTTTTTGAGACAGGGTCTCACTATGTCGCCCAGGCTGGAGTGCAGTGGCACAATCTCGGCTCACTGCAACCTCTGCCTCCTGGGTTCAAGCAATTCTCCTGTCTCAGCCTCCCAAGTAGCTGGGACTATAGGCGCCTGCCAACATGCCCGGCTAATTTTTGTATTTTTAGTAGAGACAGGGTTTCACTATTTTGGCCAGGCTGGTCTCGAACTCCTGACCTTGTGATCCACCCGCCTCAGCCTCCCAAAGTGCTGGAATTACAGGCATGCGCTACCATGCCCAGCTAACTTTTGTATTTTTAGTAGAGATGGGGTTTCACCATGTTGGCCAGGCTGGTCTTGAACTCCTGACCTCATGATCCACCCACCTCGGCCTCCCAAAGTGCTAAAGTGCTGGGATTATAGGCATGAGCCACCACACCTGGGGGGACCTCAGGAATGATTTTTAAATGGAAAATGTACCATTTGCTTTGAGGGCCCTCTAACCTACTATTTCTCTCAAACTTCCTTTGGCAAAATTCATATGTCTCATATCTTTACATATTGATCTTGCTACAATATTCGGATAAATTGCTTATTTAAATAAAATTATGTATGTGAGATTCCTTAAGAAAGTATGAGGCATTATGGAATTTTGAGGCACTGTAGCCTCAGTTCAACTTTGACAATAATAAAAAAAAATTTGACTGGGGCAGAACCCTTTATTTGAAGGGAACAATAGATGGGTGAGAATTTCTTGAATGATTTTGACATCCATGTGAAAAGTTCTTCTAAGTGTGTATGTGGGATGGGAAGAGTGCTGTTTTTCAGCTTTCTCTGCTTTAATATGTACTAAATTTTGACTTCACTGAGGCCATACCTAGCAGTTGCCAGGCCAGAAAATATGTAGCCCACACTGTGTAAAGTGTTCTAAGCTTAGTTTTTGAAGATTCGTTTCTTGATTTAAAAGCAAAGGAAATGTGAAGAGATATAGAGAATTAAGGGCTACCTGCCTTCTTGAATTTCTTTCAAAATAGAAATAGTGAAAGAAGAAAATAGATGGTAAAACACTTAGAAGAGTGAGGGGGTTTTCTTCCAGAATGTCAATTCTTTCCCTCGAAATAACCTAGGAAGTATCCATAATTGACATCCTAGCACTTAAAGGATAATTCCTTCAGGTTGGGCATGGTGGCTCAGGCCTGTAATCCTAGCACTTTGGGAGGCCAAGGCAGGCGGATCACTTGAGCCCAGGAATTTGACCCCAGCCTGGGCAACATGGCAGAACCCTCTCTCTAAACAAACAAACAAACAAAACAACAACCAAAAAACAGAAATCAGCTGAGCACTGTGGTACGCACCTGTAGTCCCAGCTACTTGGGAGCCTGAGGTGAGGTAGGAGGATTGCTTGAGCCTCAGATGTCAAGGCTGCAGTGAGCCATGATCATGCCACTGCACTCCACACTCCAGCCTGGGTGAGACCCTGTCTCAAAAAAAAAAAAAAAAAAAGTCGTTCCCTTCTCTGAAAGGAAACTAGTTTTACTACTTAAAGCAGATGTGGTAAGAACAATTCTTTCCATCTAAAAAGTTCTCAGTGTAACAAATTCCCTGTCCAGCCCTGTGGGTTGGCACCCCGATTTTGAAATAGAAATCCTGATGTAATTGAACCATTGCACTTGGCTCATGGGAAACACTAAAGTGTGGATTGCGGAAAGATTTCTCATTGTCCCGCTATTCTATAAGTCTAAATATGGGTTACACAGGGATCTTGTCGTTGGTAATGTTCAGAGAATGGGAGTTAGCAACATGGAAAACTGCATTATATATGCTGAATATGATCCTATGCTCTCAAGAATATAATGGCTAGTATTGGGGCTAGAAACACTTGATTGATCCCTTAAGTATCAGTGGATCAAATTATGTGTGTTAAGGAATTAAATGGTCTAACTAACTGAATAAAAAAAAAGTTGATGATTGGGGTCTACTTTGTATTTGAAATGAAAATTTTGTGATTTGTAGTATTATGGAATGTAGCTTGAGAGAGCAAACGTTCTTGGCCTTTCCAAGAGGATTGTATAACAGAATGTACACAAAATACTAGTTCAGAATGGAAGTGGTTCTGAAGGCCAACTCATCCAAGCATCTGGTCTTTCACACAGAGGTAAAATCAATCGGATCTAGTAATGGACTGGAATCTGAGAGGGGGAGGTATTAAGAAGGACTTACAGGTCTGTGGAAATAGATAGAATTTCCTTAGAATTTCTCTCAAATAGTCATCAACATGCACTTGAAAATGTCCAATGATAGCAAACCTTCCAAAGAAATCCATTTCATTTGGATGTTTTTTATTTTCTTTGGGAAAAGAAAATAATATTTTTCATCGAGTTTCTTCTTTTTCATATCCTTTTCTGTATCACTTACTCCTTCTTCATCCTATATAAGCTTAATAACTCAAAAATCGTTGTTTATAGGTTCCAGCGAGGCCACATTAATAATAATAATACATATGATATCAAATCTTAGTTCTTTCCTGTTTATGTAGGATTTTTTTTTTTTTTTATGGAGACAGTCTGGCTCTGTCACCCAGGCTGGAGTGCAGTGGCAAGATCGTGGCTCACTGCAAGCTCCACCTCCCGGGTTCACACCATTCTCCTGCCTCAACCTCCCGAGTAGCTGGGACTACAGGCGCCTGCCACCACACACGGCTAATTTTCTATATTTTTAGCAGAGACGGGGTTTCACCATGTTAGCCAGGATGGTCTTGATCTCCTGACCTCGTGATCCGTCCGCCTTGGCCTCCCAGAGTGCTAGGATTACAGGCGTGAGCCACCGTATCCAGCCTTACATAGGATTTAATTCACCTCTTAAAAGCGCCTTTGGTTATTTCCTCAAGTTTCTTTCTTTCATTTTCTTTTCTTTTCTTTTTTTTCCTTTCCTTTCCTTTCCTTTCCTTTCCTTTCCTTTCCTTTCCTTTCCTTTTCTTTTTTCTTTTCTTTTCTTTTCTTTCT